GAAGAATCACCTCCAGCCTGGTGTTGTCTGGGCCTGAGAGGGGCTTTTCCTCCATTTTCATTTGAAAATCTGAGATGGACCTCTGGATCTTAAGATGATGACCTGGGAACATAAAGACAGACTTGAAGATACTTTGCAGTCATGTATCTTTTTCCAATAATAAATCCACACTGACCCCATAAAAAAAATAAAAAATAGCTGAGCATTGGAGCTTGACTTTTGACAAAGCAGGATTTTTTAAAAAATACAATATTTTCAAAACACCATCACAGCTGCTTTAAGATTTATTCTATTGACAAAATCACCAGAGGCTGAATCGAGCTGTTTGCAGATCATCAACTTTATGTGTTTAACTCAGATTACTTTCAAACCATTACTGTTGCCAACCTACATGGTGAACCTAAAGACAGTTAAAGCCTTCTGAACTTTAAATGGCACAAATTGATATTCTTGTTTGACTTTTTCCATTTGATTCCCAAGATCATTAAAAAAAGAAAAGTAATTTCAAAAAAATGCTACCTCTTGTGATGTCACCAGAAACGTGTGCTTTAAAGAGTTTATAAGATGACAGATTTCATTGAGTAAATCACAACTTACATTAGGTATTGATATTAATGTAATATTATTCCACATGTGTCAAACTATACCTTAGGCCAGTTTAATTTATTCAACAGATATGTCTGATAAGTAGCTTTAAGAGTCCAACATTTACTGTTAAATCACAAATTAAGTCAAACTGACATCAGGATATCTAAATTTAAAGTAAAAAGATAAATAAATTGTTTCCTTTTGTCAAACATAAGAGGTGGTTTAATCATATATATATGGCATTGTGTCGATAAAGACAATAAAAAGCCTACATTCATTTAAATAAAACGCCAAACTCACCTAAAATATTCACTACAGCCGTTATCTCATCAAAATCAATAACATAATGACATAAACGTTTTCAAAAATAAAAGATAAATTTTTAACAGCAACAAACTCACTTACCTGTCGTTTATAGTTTTTAAACGCTTGTCATCACCTTTTTTTGGCTAAAATGAGCGTTACTATCTCCTACTCCTGTTAGTTTACTAGGTTAGGGTTTAATTTTGACAGGGCTTAAGCGATGCAAGTAAGACGAATTATAATGAAGCAGCTGAGACCGAATTACAAATTAAACAGAAGGTGTTTCCTCTTACCCCGTCATACCAGAAACTCAGCCCGAATCTGGCAGTTTTCCTGAGGTAAACATAACCGGTTCCGTCCACATAAACTGTACGACAAGCAAATAAAAATAACTGCTCCTAGGCTGCCGCCATCTTTGATGCTGCAGGTAAAACAGTTTCCGCGTTTAAAGGGGAAACTGTCGCAGGTGTCAGCTAGCTAAACTCAGACGTTAAGAAACCTGTTTCACCGAAGAGGCCAACAGAAAGAAAAAAAAAAACACTGACAAACAGGAAGAGGATAAAAACCTTAGCAACCCACTAACTTCCGGTTTCAGTTTTACAAATAAAAGAGTTTCTTCTTTATGAAACTGACATGCTTTTCACAAGACTTTGAGAGAATTTCTTGTTAGCAATATTTAAAATATGTTCCTATTTAATGTTTAAGATTTAAATGTGTAGATTTACAGTCCTAACTACCGTAATCTCAGCAAGATTATGTTATATTAGCCAATATATGGTTTCTATTCCATCTGTCAATTTATTTTATATGTGTAGCAGCCATATTGGATTTTGCAGCTGGGATTGGTGGAGAAGCTCCGACTTTTATTAGCTTCAGGGTGTATTCAAGCTGAATTTTCCAGCTTATATCTGAGCAATTTTTCTTTTTCCTTATCTTTTTTCACACTTCTCACAACTCAGGAATTAAAAGTAGTCAGTACTAGTATAATTTTGTAGGCCTGAAGCAGAAAAGTTTCAAGTGTTACTTATATAGAGAAATGAATTTTAAAATTTTGTATTTGTACATTTGTTTACATCTAATCCAATCTTTTACTCTGACAATCCATTTCCAGTTGAAAACACATTAGCATAGAGATTTGACCCTCATCCTGCCAATGTGAGATGCTAACATTTTTCATAATCTTTCATTTTATGAAGCAGTTTTCGAAACATATTTGACATCTAAAAAGCAGTTAAAACAATAAAATTATCAAAATGTACCAGAAAAAAATAAGTGAAAATCTAGAGATTTGATCCCTTAAAATCATAAAAAATATATTTGTTATGATTTATTAAAAACAATAATTGCAAACACTGATGTTGTTGCTTAAGTACTGCCCTAGAAGAATTACATTGGATTCCCATCTCATCTGGACTTGTTGCTTTATTTTGAAAGCTCAGCTCATCTGCTTCCTCTTGAAACTGGCAAGCCTGACTTTTACATTAGACATTAATAGTTGATAGTCTACATTAGATAGCTGCTCCTTATCCACAATCTGTTGGCTGAGTCTGAGCACCTCCATTACAAGCTAACGCTAAAATAATAACCATGGTTTCAGGACATAGGAAGTTTTTTAAAACTAGTTAAAGAAATGTTTTCTCTGTAGAAACTCAGAAGGATTATACTTATGAATAAAAAAAGAGAAAGGACAAGACGTTCTCTCTAAATGCACCTGCCCATTTACTCTTAAAGACAACAGACTTACTTTTAAGGATAATCTTTTATTTGCCCAAATACTTAAACTACAAGGACATAAGAACATCCTCCGCTATATAAAACATCAAATCCTGTCAAATGATCAGCAGTACAAACTTGTAAAGCTTTGCCGTCATACATATCTCTAGAAACCAACATAGGGGAAGAGAAGAAACAAGTAAAACAGGTGACCTTAAACTAAAAACTCTCCTCCCGTGAGTGGAAGACTCACTCGCCCTGGAAGTCACAGAAGAGGGTTTGCAAAATTAACATACTAACAAAACAAAATCCACTCAATACAAAAAGAAAAACAAAAACAGTATTTACAGAAAAATTACATTTTTTAACCCCAAATTTTCAGGTAACTCAGCTCCACCCAGCAACTCCCCATGTATCAGTCACTTTGTTCCCCTCCTGAAGTTACTTAAATAGCCCACGCTGGTTTTTGTTTGCCTGTGATACAGTCAAAAATATTCCATCACATACAGATCAATAAGAGAGTAATCAATCAGAATAAAAATGATGTAAGTTTTGTCCATTATTAGGGAAATAATGACACAAATTAGGGAAGGTCGGGATCCAATAACAGAACAATATGTACATTCATGGTGTTGGTATGATGCCCCCACACAGGCACGAAGATGCACGCTGCAGTCACATCTCGGTTTGCAAGAAAACGGCAACAACAGCAAACATTAAAGCAAAAAAGAGAAATACGCACGCACACGTCGTCGTATATACACAGTGATGTCAATGCGTGCACACAAACTCAGACGGACAGATTTACATAAATGCACACTTTTTAGGAGGGGGGCATTAGACAAAACCCAAAGTCATGACAGCCACTGAAAAAAACAAAACTCGATTAAAAAAAAAAAAAAAAATCAAACCATTCAGGTCCTCAGCAGACGATTAATGCTCACAAAAACCTGGAAGTATATAAACAAAATCATAAAAAAATCCAAAGGTATATTGTTTTAAAAAAAAATACTAAAAATTAAATGTAGACAACTGAAAAAATGGCTCCCTTTGAGGTCCAGACAAACTGCTGAAACGACAAGAATCGTTTTAAGACTGATAAATGAATCCTATGAGACGCGTCGTTTTGGAGACAAAACTGGATGCTGTGATGTTACCAAATATTTACACCTGGAAATAAATGCATTTTAAACCTTCAACATATGACTGTAAATTCCAACACAGAAAATGGTACAAACTGTGTAAGAAAGGCATTGGAAATAAAGAAATTACGAAATATTTTCAGACATTTTACCTTTTTATGAATCATGTTGGATTATATTGTAAAACTAATTGTAGCAGCGGTAATTTCCTATGTTTTGTGAGTTGAGCTAAATGAGTTTCCCAAATATTACAGCAATTATTGTATTTTCACTAAAGTGGAGTAAAGGTTATGCCAAATAAATTATTCATACCTTTGTCAGATTTAGATTTAATGCACAAAGTCAGTCAGCAATTGTTGGAGGGGTTTGTTTTCTGTAATGCCAAATCAGATTTGTCCACTGGTTATTAAAAACAAAGGATATAAGTAATTTTAAACGTGCCATGTCTTATTAAAACGGAAATAAAAACAAAGATTTTTATCCCCCCTCACCCAAATGTGACAAAACATTGTCCTCATTACATAACAAGAGATGCCTGCATCAGTTCCAGTCAAAGCCAAACTTCTCGGCTGAATGAAAATGCCTTTAATTTGTAAATCTGCCAGCGGTATGACTGAGTTGGAGCCCATCCAGTCTGACGGAAAACATGCTAAATCTACAGAGAAGACATCCGGAAACAACTTCCAGTGACAGAAAAACATTCTTAATGGCTTGACTTCTAAACAAAATACCACCGTTGTGAGAACCAAATCACAAAATCTACATCAAATGAAAACATGGAAAAAAAAAAGTTAAAATTAAAGGAAACATTCTAAAGAGTGCAATTATTCAGTGCCCTGCACATGCTCCCTGCCCCCCTCTTCACGAAGTGATCCACCAAACTGTGTTCTTTGGCTCTGAAGCCTGTTCTGTTCACAACCTCCTTGTCAGGAAAAAAAAATAAAATACTGGAGGGAAACTGATTACCTGATACATTTAACTCTAACTTTTACTATAGAGCTTGCAAATAAAATAACCAAACTCAGAGAAGAAATGTTCATGACATCACCAAACCAGTGGGATGCTGTTTTTGGTACAACGTCAGCTGTGACCGTCACACCCGGGAGGGAATCGGACTGACTTCAGGGCCGGGCTTCCTTCTGGAGCAGCAACGTAAACCGGGTGTAGGATAGATGAAGCGATGCGGAGGGGAAGGAGAGCTCCCCCTAGTGGGAGGAGAGCAGGGTTGGCACAGTGGCAGAGCTCCCTGGACTCTTGGCTCAGCTCAGCGCTGCTTTAGTTCGTCTCTGGGCGGCGGCGATGGCGGCCATGTTTCAGTCCGAATCCGACTCCGACGACTCGGCGGAGTTAGAGTCGCTGCTGCTGTCGTCATCGTCCGATTTGTTTTCTTTGTCGTCCACCTCATCGTCGTCGTCGTCGTCGTCCTCATCGTCGTCATCTTCGTCGTTCTTGAAACAGAAAAAAATTTGCATTCATGTTTTTTTTTTTTTTTTTTTAACTTGATACTTTTAAGCGATTAGAGATTTCGCTCACATCATCGTCGTCTTCATCTTCGTCATCCTCCTCACTGGAGGAGTCTGCTTCCGACGAAGCCTTCTCCTGCTCATCGTCGTCGTCGTCCTCCTCTTCCTCCGTGTCCTGTCGGAAAGCACATTTTTAGGCTAGGGAAAACGAGCTTCATGACTTCAGGCGAACGGATGAACTCAGAGACTCACAGATTTCTTAATCTTTGCTTTGGCGCCTCCTGGTTTTGCCGGAGCTCTTCTTTTCTGTGAATCAAATGCAAAAAATGTAAGATCTCAGCTGTTCAAAATGGAAGAAAACACTTTAAAAGCAAACTGCTGACGCGAGACGTAAAGACTTACTTGGGAATTGTATTCTCTGTAAGTGTTTCGCTCTTGTGAAGACAAGCTCTGTTGGCAGATGAGATGTAGGTAAAATAAAAATCTACAAAGCTAATTTAAAACCTCTTATGTTTATTTTAAGCAGCTCTTACAGCCAGCCACTGTTCCAGGAGGACTTTGTACTGCTTCTGCTTCTCCTCGGCGATCTTCTTGTAGCGGTCCTTGTCCTTCAGCGGCAGCCTCTGCCACCGGCTGCCGATCTCGGTCATTCGCTCCTTCATCGGGAGGTGATTCAGCTCGCCGTTGGACAGCATCTCCTGGGAGAACTTCTGGTATCCGTTTCTAACAGGGTGAGATTTTATAAACGTTTTACATCCTTTTATAGCCATTTAAAACAAAAAAAAAAGTGTCACATTGCAAACTTACGATGGCGGTTTTTTGGGTTCTCCTTCGAACTTCATCTTCTTCAAAGATGTGACGGCGTTGGCAGGAGATCGCATCTCGCACAGATCTCTCTGTTAAACACAGAGGAGTCAGTTCAGTTCCTACTCGTCCAGATGTTTTCAATAAATGTTCACAAGTTTCAATGTATTTTATATGATAAATGAGTGTAATTTGAATGTTTGTTTTCAAAATTTGGACTTTCTATCTCGTCATCAACTCTGAAATGCTTCGCTGCATCGCCCTGGCACTTCATAATTATGCACCATTTTGTGTTTCCTACCAAATAAAATACATTTACTTTGTGTTGGAAACAAAATGACATCTTACTTCATATCTTTTCTGGTCTTCTGCAGCTTTTTTGATCCACATGATCTTCTCCTTTTTCTCCATGGTGCTCCACACCGTTTCCATGGCTTTGTGCGCCTTTGGTCGATCATTCTGCAACGAAAAGGGCTCGTTTAAATTTCACTGGTGGAAACAATAACAGAGAAACCAGAAGGTTGTGTGTCTGAAGTCAATCGGACCTTAAATCTGGCAACGTAGTCCCCTATGACACTCTGCTGCCAGATTTCCTGAGCAGTTTTGGGCGGATCCGGCAGGCGACTTCTGTCCTCCCTCTCCTTCTTCTCAGACTCGGCTTTCAGAAGCGCCTCCACACGTTTATACTTCTCCTGAATCATAAAGAGAGAAAAAAAAAAATCACAGGAGAAAATTTTACTACGACGACCTGTCGGGATGTTTATTTTGATAATTGTATGTAGAAGACAGGCTACCTTCTTCTTATCAGGCAGCTCGTTCCACATGCGGGCCAGGAGTCTGGTGAGCTCGCTGTCAGGAATGTCGGGTCGCTCCTGCTGCAGCTTGGCTCGCTTCTCCTCAGAGAATATGAACATGGCAGAGATGGGCCTCTTGGGTTTCTCTGTACTTGCCTACAAAAACAATGCAAATGAGTTAGAAACAAAGAAACAAAAGAAAAAAAGAGAAACAAAAGAAAGAATGCCAGCTTTACCTTCGTTTTAGCATTTTTCTTTCTAGAGGCAGGGCTGCTGGCTGCACTGTTCTTTTTGAGACCGATCTTATCCTCGCCCAGAACTCGCTGCTGCTCCTGCTCTGACAAGGTCTGAAACAATAAAAACAAACACTTAGCTTTCAGATAAAAACTAAATGCTTACAGAGAAAATAACAGAACCAAAGCACACTGGGAACTCACACTGAGGAATCTGTTCATCTCTATTTCATACTCCTTCTTCCTCTGGATGGAAAAAAGCAAAAGGAATCAAATTAAAACCCGGGAGGAGATCCGGACGGGGTTTCTTCGGGATTTGCTGTCGGACTGACCTGTTCGCAGCGTTTCTGGTACGCGTCCTTTTCGTTCTGCTTCAGGAGCTTCCACCGCTGGCTGCACATCACCATGCGCTCCGTGCTCGGGACGTCCTTCATGCTGGACATCAGCTCGGCACAGAACATCGAGTAGCCGTTTCTAAAACATTCACACGTGATTTCTGAGTAAATCCGTTGCAGCAGGTGGACGGAGAGCTTCGTACAGGTGGATCTTACGGAGGAGGCTTGTCGGGCCGGCCGTCGGACTTGTCTTTGAGGTGCCGCTCCGCCTTGGTCAGGGTGGACTTCATGATGTTTCCCTGGCTCATGTTCAGCTCCGGGTGCTGCTTGGTGTATTCCCGCATCGCTTCCTAGAAAAACAAAACGTAAAACCACTTATAAAAACCAACCCAAACTACCGTACAGACCCTCCATGCTGGAGTTAACCAAATCCTCGCACCTCGTACAGCTTCTGCTGCTCCAGGGACTTGCTGATCCATTTGAGCCTCTTTTTGTCAGACAGCTGCGTCCACTGCTTACCAAGACTGTCCTTGATGTCTTTGGTGGTCGCCTGGTTGTGACACACAACATCTTTTAGAAAGCACATTTCCAATAATCAAACTGGATTGTGGGAGGGTCAGACTCTCTGGCTTACATCAGGGTGCGTCTTGAGGAACGCCTTTTTTTCATGGTTGTACCACAGCTGCTGGGGCGTCTTGGGCTTTTCTGGGACATTTGAGCCTTTCTTGGTCATGCTCTCCATGAGGTCCGGATGTTCTTCCCTGTTTGCACATGATCAGTTTAAGCATTTAATAGCTACAGGTAGAAAACTACACACAACAAAGAATAATAAGCCTCATATTAAATATATTAGAAATAAAATTGCAAAAACTATTGCAATTTTGTTTTACATAAAAGATTTAATAAATGTTAAAGGCTTGCATATTTTATATTCCTCCTTGGTTAGCCTATGCATTATTGGTCTTATTGCTCATAAATCTGGAGAAATGCAAGTAAAACAACCACTTAGTTATAGGCTTACCAAGAAAGTGGGATATCATGAACCAGCTAATAAATTCTTTTTAAAAAAAACCCTGCATTAATCATTCTTACCTGAATTTCATCATGCTTTGCACAAATGTTTCCTTATCACGCAAGAAGTCATCTACATACTTTTTCTGTTGAAACAAAACAGAAACAAGTTTTGATTAGTGAAACCACAGGTTTAAATGTAAAAATGAAACTTTAACTTAGACAAAAACACTTTACTGACCTTCTTTTTGTCAGGGAGCTCCCTGTACTTCTTGGAGAGGATCTTAGTGAGGTCCAAGTTGCTCATTTCAGGATGCAACTTTGCATACTTGGCCCTCTTTTCCATGAAGAAACGGAAATACGGAGTCAAAGGCTTCTTGGGGAAATCTGGGTGTTTCTGTGTAAAGACGAGATAAAAAAAAAAAAAAGTCTGAATTTTGAGCTTCACTTGCATAGCTTCGTAGCTTTGGTGTTAGAAGTACTGAGTGCAACTCACCTTTAATTTCTTGCCTTTGTAAGGGTTCTTGATGTAGTCCTGGGCATCAAATATCAGCTCTGTTAGAGTTCTGAATTTCCGGATCTTCATGAAATGAAAACACATGGGTTAGCTCTAAATGCGGACTCCTCCGAACATTTAGTCTGAGATTGAAGTCAGTTAACGTGGCTCACCTCTTTTGAGACTTCCTGCCATTTCTGCTTGCACATCTCTGCTGTGTAGGAGTTGAAGGCCACCTTCTGCCAGTCCAGGTGGGACTCGGAGGTTTTGTATTTTGTCAGGTCCTTCTGAGGCAGAGCCACTTTCATGGAGTCCAGCAATTTTAGGAGGTCATCCTGCGCCCACACTGTGAACACATTACAAAAGAAGAGCAGAAATGTCATTAAATATATGGATGGGCAGGAAAATGGTATGAAAAGGTTTGAAATCAACAGAGCTGTTGGAGAACCATACCTTGGTCCTGGGCCACCGCCTCCATGTCTCCATTCATTTGTGGTTATACAGTCTCGACTCTGCAAATAAAGAACGTTTTTGTCAAACTAACCTCATGGTTCCAGTAAATAGTTATTTCTGGGATGTATTTAGTTCACTTTTAATGCTCAGCTATAAATATTTAATGTATCTTAGCTTTAAACTTATGTATAAAATCAAAAGTATGCTAAATACAGCAATTAATCACTTAACAATGAGAATAGAAGATTTACCATGCCGTTTACATATTTCTCCATACATTTCCAGAGTTCCCATCTTATGTGTAGCCTGTTTTAAAAGCTTATTTTATAATGAATTTACTGCAGTTTATGTACATTTTAAATACCAAACCTGAATTTTTTTTTTTTTAACTAAACTACAATCAGAAGGATATGAAGTAAATGCGTCATCAATGGGTGGATTAAAAGATTTTGGACAAACTCAATAGCGAGGAAATCAAAATATTTTTCCAAACTTATCCAGACCTGGTAAATGTTTAAATAAAGGTCCAGACAGTTAGTGTAAGATAATTAATTTACATCAAACTTTCATTTAAGTACGTAAAGGAGATCCAATTTGCTTGAAATTACAGAAATATTTGTAATACAAAAGGGTTTTCAACCAACTAATGAGATTTTATATGAGAATAAATCAAGTAAAAAAATAAACTGTTTTTATTCATTCATGTATTGGCTCCGTTGAATCTTAAAAAGGAACAAATTGGAAAAAAAAAAAAATTCCGAGTCCATTAAAAAAAAGTGGTCAAATAAGTTATGTTTTTTTTTCTAGTCATTGTTTAAAAAGTAGATTGCGAGTTATCAATTTGCGGATTAAAAATCAATAAATTTCTGTGTGAATGTAAATCTGCCTCTGCATGATGTTTTATGTTCATTACACCGCCCCTAAAACGTTTACGCTGCATGGTGAGACATAGGCTATTGCTTGTGACGGCTTCAAATCTCAAATAACACTGCGGAGGGCTTCAAACTAGCACAACTAGCTACGACAACAGGAGTCTCAGACGATTTTTTCCCCCCTAACCGGAATTTGGCGAATTAGCTCTGTCCTTATTCCACAACAAAAGTATCGTGGACACACAGCAGCGACCATTTTCTCCCTCGGTCTGCTCGGTAATGGAGGATTTTTCTGTCGGAGCGGAGTTTTTGGGGAGGATCTACGGAAGGAGGAAGCGAATAGACGTGGACAGACAGGCAGCTGTAGGCGACCAGCTGACCACGGACTGGGGGATCTGCTTTCGGTCTCCGAGAGGCAGGAATGGTGGCTTGGAAGCACTGCAGCCAAATGCGCCACTCGGAAGAGGCGCCTCCTCACCGTTGGATGCGGCTCTAACTCCGTCATGCGAACCTTTTAATCGGTTTTTTTTTCCCTGTAAACCTCCAAAAACATACAGGGAGGTCGAAGTAATATTCGTTTGAGACAAAAATGAGCGCTTTTACGTATTTTGAGAGTACTTTCGTCGTCTTTTAAACGTAACATGGCGGATCTGTGGAGCAAAACCGAGAGCATTCTTCAGCGAGGCGTAGCCGAGCTGTGCTTCCATGATGGCGGATCCTCGTTGTTCATCTTGTCCTTGATGGTCCCAGCTCAAACGCGTGACCTAGCTTGATTAAAACCTCTTATATTAACATGAATGCTAATCCAGAAACTAAATTATATAAAACCTGCCATCGAGTTTCGCCAATTTCAACCAAGAATACAACATATGGATGTCTTAAAAATTAACTGCAACGGTACTAACTACACAACCAGACAGCTTACCATGTGGAAAAAATAAATGTACATTCAGTTGACTTGTAAAGTCACATTTTTATGTTAGAGAGATAATTTAATTAGATTTTTCTGTTCTCCGTATATGATCTGGATTACATTAGCTGGTATTTACAAAATTATAAATTTTATTTCAGTGATATCTCGGAGAATTAAAGGCAAACAAGACCAAGATTGGCTAACCTTTTTCAGTTGAAATGACCTGCGGAGCCTCAGAAAGAGATGCAAAAAAAATCCAAATATTAAACGGAAAAACACCACGTTAACCTAATTTTTTGCTCGTTAATTTTAGTTGTATCATCAGTAAACTGATCAGAACGTAACTGCCGAGAAAACGCGGATCCCAAATGCCCGGTTACATCTCAGAAAGGACGCTAAGATCCGAGTATGAGCAGCTTCTCTGGCGCGGCAAAAACAGCTCCAGGTCCGCCATGCTTCAGCCCCGCTCTGCTCTGTGAGGAAACCTACCGTGACAAGGTCCAATGGCGCACTGCAAACACTGACAACGGAGCTTAGAGCTAAAGCCGGGGCGTTGCAGCCTCCCTTCCCCTACACCCGAAAAGCGCATAAGCAAGGACGAGAAGGCGGGTTCTTCGAGCTCGGTCGTCGCTGGTGGTTCTGGGCTACGGTCGGTGAGAGAGAGTGAGGGGGAGAGGGAGGGCGAGTCTCAGTACGGTGAGATATTAAACCGAGATCCCTGATGGCTGGCCGAGAGTGGCGGCTAGCTGTTCCGCCAACAGCCGCATGGAGGTCTCGGCGCGGAAACCACCGCTCGTTCCCCACGCAAACCCCACCGTTACATCACAAATGTCTCAGTTTCGATGAAAGTATTTTGCCTAAAGCAGTCGTCGGGTTTTTTTTAAGTAAAAATGAAACATACCTTCGGGTCTTACAACGCGGTTCTTCCCCACTGTTCGGGATAAGTAATTCGGCTATGGCCGACCTCGATCTGTACCCTTCCACAACGGTCGGTCTGTTTCGGTGCTACAAAGAAACTGCCGTGCGAGGGGCGTTTAAATGACAACCAACCCCACAACTAAATGCTTCACTGTAAACTTTTCATCGTTTTTTTTTATGAGCTTCTCGGTAGTGTAGCTGTGAAACCGACCGAGTTTTGTGGTGCCTTACCTGTTTCGATGTGAGCCAGTGTCGCTGTGGAGGAAGAAGGGGAGGGTTGAACTATAGCCAGCACTGCGCCGTCGATGCTGGGCTCCAGTCCCCGCAGAGACGGTCCTTCCCCCCGCCTCCATCTCACTCGCAGTCTCCCTCCACTCAACGCGCAGCAGCTCTCCCCTCTCCATCCAACCATTTCGCTGCGCCGACTCAACACCATTTTTTTTGCGGTGGCGCACCGTTGATTTTTTTTTGAATAAAACCGAGCACGATTACTTTTGCTCCCCGAGGCCGATCCTGTTACATCTCCGAGGCGAAATTTTGCACCGCGGGGGTTTTAGCAGGCAACTCCGGGTCTCAGGAAAGCCAAAGTTGCAGCTCTGGTTCTCGTATTTAATGCTATTTAAAATCAAATAAAAATCAAATGCAATTTGTTGTTTGTCAGCATTTATTTCTCTTTTCCTGTGCTCAAGCGGTTTCCACCAGCTCCAAACCTCTTTTACTGAATTGTAAGCGGCTGTTTGACAGCTTCATTTTGGCCCAGTGTGTTTTTTCTTTTCAACTCCACCTTGTGTGTTTGTGGGCGGAACCGCCGGCTGTCCAATCCAGTCCGCCCGATTCATCGAAAACAAATGACTTTCAGGCACTCAGCCTTGTTAAACTTTGCTGTGTTCACTTGCTGTCGGAAAAGTTGGAATCACATAATACACCACTTTGAGGTGCCATTTTCTTAAATAAGTAATTTCGTAAAACTTTTAGTACTTTTAGAACAGCCTTCTAAGCCAAAATTGTATTATCTAGTTTTTATTTCTAGCTTTTTTCAAATGTAAAATATGTTTGTGGTCATCGAATATTATTAAAGTATTAGCTAAACTCAACTAAATGTTTTTACTTTTTCTGTTACATTTTGTAAAAAAATATATATATATACTTAAAAATTATGGTATTATTAGAAATAAGTGCAGCTTATTCAATTGATTTTATAAAATGTGAATACACAGTGAAACGTTCATGCGTTTTGGATTTGGAGGTCACTATTTTTAAAGTTTCAATATAGAGGAGTTGATATTTGCATGATGTCCGTGAAAGCAGCATCCATCCTTAAGTCCTTTCCTGTCTCCTGTTTCCCAGTTGCGCTTATGAAGTCAAGCATTTTAAACACTGATTTTATTTGTATTAAAATAATCCAAAGCAATGTACAGTTTAAGCACACACGTTTAACGAACAATGTAGGTCATTTACAAGAATACTTTCCTGATGCTATGCTCCAGCAATTGACTAAAAATGCATCTCTTTATTAACTTCCCTTTATTGTTCGTTGATTTTGATTTATTTTTTAAAGTAATTATACTCTAAACTCTCATATAGGCAACTCACATCGTTTTTTATACACATTTCAAACAAGAACAGAAAATACTATGACACACAAGAAATCAATTGGAGCAAACTTAATAAAAATAGCTTAAAACATATTGAGAAAAATACTCCAGGCTGTGGGAAAAGGCACTAGTGAAAGTCACAGAAATTCCTATTTGTGATTATTTCAAAAACTTAGAAAAATAAATTAGCGCGAGCAAAAAAATCCTGTGTTAGAACAAAGGCAAATGGGAAAATCCATATGTTAAATATGTACTGGAAGGAAAAAGAAGGATACATGTTTTTATAGGAAAAAGTGCCTCCTTTTTAAAACAAAAATGTCTTCAGTTAAAATACTATTTTCTATTTAAGCCTTTGCCTGGTTCATCAACAGAAACATTGCCTGAATGCTGGATATGAAAAGTAATATTTTAAAGATAAAAATGACAACAGTTTGTAATTACAATTGAGTGGTTTTTCTTCATATTGGTTTTTACGCCAATCCATCTTCCATGTCTTCGTCATCGAATTTCACTTTGGCGTCATCTGCATCCAGCTGCAAGACAAATCCATCCGTTAATAACACCAATAAAACAACTTCAAGATAACTTATGAATGAATGAATGAATTGTTGGGAGATTTTGGAGATGCAGCCCAGAACTTACACATTTCATCTCCAGTGGAGTGAAGATCCGGCCGGTCATTAAGATCCTCAATGGGATGGTGAGAATGAGGAAGAAAGGCAGTGCCAATGAGAAGGTGCTCTGCTTAACAAGCCAAAGGACTCCCAAGCACAAAATCTGGATCAGAGTGAAGATATGCATCCGCATTGTTTTCACCTGCAAAGATAAACAGACAGGATCAAGTTACTAAAGCTGAGAAATCTCCTTTGTAGATTTGAATAAATCAACAAAAATGAAATCCAACAGTCCTGAAAGCTTTAACTTGAATTAAAACAGTATTAGTACTTATAGTTGGGAGCAATAACGTGCAGGAGACACAAAATACACACTCAAAATGTGTCACAGAGTGAGATAAACCGTATTAATGACTAGGAGTGATACCCTGGTAGCATAGGCATCAGATGGATGGTATTTCTTGGGTGTAATGAGAAGAAGAATCCTGTCCCACATCTGGACACCATTTAGAGAGGTGATACCCATGTACAAGAAGATACCAAACAAGGCGGTCATTGGAATCATCCGCAGGATCGGTTCCATGAAAATCGAAACTCCTGAACAGTAAGAAAGAGAGTTGGTGATAAAAGGAGGAAACAGTTCTTCCCTTCAAGCATGTTGTGAATGCATTAGCACTCTAGATGGCAGCACCTACCAACCATAAGGGCCACGATCATACCACTGATCCTCTGCTCAATCACCTTCTCGATCACCGGTTTGGGGCCCTTAGACATGACGGTCAGAGCGTTGGCATGGGTGACAGACCGCACAGTGGCAGCACTCAGCCAGGGGACGCCAAAGATGGAGGAAATGCCGCCCATGGTGACCAGGAGGAGCAGGTCAAAATGAAAACCAGAGCCTTTCACCATCTTCCTCTCAGGTTTGCTCACAATCAACCTGTGAGCACACAAATAGATACTTCTTTCACATTGTTCAAGCAGTTCGTAACGGTAATGTATAGAATATCCAACTTTACTCACGTAGTAATCTGGGACTCCATGAAAATGAGGATGAAGACAAGCAGAGCAGGAACACAGCAGGCACCCATCATCCAAATAGGGAAAGGCTTTTTTTCTCCCATGGGGTTGATGATCCAGCCTCTGGATTTGGGGTTGGTCACTTCAATACCTTTTGGCACAACCAGTTTCTGCAAAATAAGGCAAATATTGGTTGATAAATGCAAAAAAAGAAGGTAAGGGTAAGGTTATTTTGGCAAAGTTTGAAAATGAATTTGTTTGTTTTGGATTCAGACATTCTTGAAGATAAATCAGGCTTCTTTATTCTAACCAAAAGCGGATGTAGAAATATGAAGTTTGTGAAATTTTCTTAAAGGAAAAACATTTAATCTGAGAAAACATGTCTAGGAAAGAAAAGCAGACATTCCTTTCTCCAATACAAAAACATTTGTTGTGAATTGGCACTATATAAATTGAATTGAATTGAACTGAAGCAATACTTCAGGGCCACAGGTAAAGTTTGGTAAATAAACTAACTAGTAAATAGAGGTACTTTCTTTTTTGCCAAGCTTCTTATTCCCCAGAACAGACCAGTGATGTACACAACTAAACTTTTTCCTGAATGTAATACTAGGTTTTTACAAGTGAAATAAATGCCATGAAGATTGATTCACATGTAAGTCTTATTTTTGAAACAAATAGAGACAGACAAAATCAAACAGTAATGCTTACTGCGGTATTTTTATACATTTGCACATAACATACCTGAGTGTAAGCATCCTCAATGCTAATATCCACTGCGATCATAAAGAAAATGGCAATAGGGACTCCAAAATCTCCAATCAAGCGACGAATCTGGAGAGAAAATTAAACATAGCTCTCCATCAAACCCAGATCACTTTATAGAGGTGATCTTTAGAGTTTGTTCAGAACTTCTTCTTACCGGGCCTGGGAGGAAGGTACCATTCTTGAACTGACGAAGGAAGTATGCAATGAAGAAACAGCCAAACATAAGGCACATAGACAGCAGGGCAGTGTTGGGGTATGCCCTTTCAACCTCCATCTCTTTAAAGGTCACATTGCCATCTGAATGAATCTCTATGTGCTCCTTGATGACTGGATGGAAGGGGTTATCCAGTGTGTCATTAAGATGTTCGTAGTTCAGAATCAAAGGATGAGTTTTGAAGATCTGAACAAGAAAAGAGATTAGAAGTCAGTTAGAGTTGGTGGAAAAAGTGAAATGATTGTTGGTGAGAAAGGGTGGATGAATGAACTGTGCTAACCTTCATGAGCTTGGCGAAGGTCTCGTAGATGAAGATGAGTGAAATGAGGATTGAGAAGATTTCTTGGGTGAAGCGTGAAATGAATCGGACCAAGAAGCTGCCTTCCACTGCCACAACTACAATCACGATCACCACCAGCCACATGCCCACCCAGATACGGCCCACAATGTATTCGATGCCTTGGGTTGTGCAGAACTAGTGCAGACAAAGGAAAGACGACTTTAATGAGGACAGTAGTGCTTTTAAAACGTTTTCAGAAATCTTATCATCTGACTGTTTGTACATACGACAAAAAAAGCTTCTTCAAACAGGAGCAGAGGTCCAGAAAATCCAATGACAAGGACAGGTTGGGCAGCAATGAGGCAGAAGATTATACCCTGAACGCAGGTAGAGACCATAAGCTCTGAGACTCCCATCATTCTGTCTGTTTTGTCCGCTAGAGTGGATTTAAAGAGACCAACAAAAGCTTCAGAGCCAGAGACAATTTTCAGCAACTACTATGGTCATCAAACACAACATGAGATACATGTCTTTCCACTGTGGACTTTTTCTACTTACCTAGAAGCCCTCCGAAGGTGATGGCAGGTGACAGGGCAGCAAAGTAGATGAAGATGATGGCAGCAAGCACCTGAGGGTTCAGAGCGTCTGCGTAGTCGCTGAGGTAGTGGCGGTAACGGCGCTTGATGTCATTCACCATTCCACCAAAAGGATAGCCTGTACGGGCCAGAGGGTCCTCCTTTGGCCCTTCAGGAGCCGCATCTAAACGTAAACAAGAAGACATTCATTTGGTCTGATTCTAAGTTCTCAACTATTTTTCAGTTTGCTACTTTTTACCTCAAAATCCAATTTTGAAACACTAAAGGTGACCTACCACGTTTCCTTGAGTAGGTTAAGCTAGGTCTATGAGCTACACAAAACATGTTCATTACATTATTAGATAACAAGATCTCAGTCTGGTCAGTTCTGCATAATCTTCAAAATTAGTTGAATTTTGACGTCTGAATCTAAGAGGGTTAAGATGTCTATATTCTTGTTGTAGTTCTGGTCAAAGATGCTAACCGGCGGCTTCTCCAAACAGAAGGCGGGTGTCAGTGGGACGGAGTCTTTCACGCAGCATCTTCTTCTGGAAGTCAATTATTGACTCCAACATTGCCTTGTCCTGGATCTCAGTGGGTGGAATCACGATGCTGCAGTCCATGAAGTCAGCGATCGCTGTGTTCAACTCCTTCTCAGTTTGGGCAAGGTGAGCTTCCAGACTGAACACCTATCAGATGGGAAGGACAGATCATTTTAATCTGAGTTGGTTTTGACAGCGTGATCCTGTGATTTTCACTGTAGTTTTCTCCTACCCAGTCGGCTAGCAGAGCACCCATGGCTCGCCCAATTTGAGTGTAGTTCAGATCACTGCTGGAGGGGCCAACCATCATGAAGACAAAACGAATGGGGACCGAAGACTCGAGGACAGACTCCATCACCACAGTGTCACTCAGCCTGACAAAAGCCACCACTGGTTTCTGCAGGAGGTCGAGCATACCTGCAAGAAAACCTCTTTACATCAGATATGGACCAAAAACATGCACATCATACAGGGACAAGGCTGCATTTGACCAAACATACCTGTGAGGACAATTGAAGCCTCCATATTGTCCGAGCTATCTCTCTGCAAAATAAAGTAGATGAAGTATGTTAAAATATTCTATATGTCATACAAAGATGGACTAAAGGTAAATAACTACCTTCTTTATGACTGAAAATGTTTGCATTTGAATGTCTCCAGCCGGAGTGACCACAGGTCCCTCATTCTGACTGAAAGGACAAGCAAAAATATGCTTAGAATGGCTTTGAGAGTTTGTGGAATGGCAGGAAAAACAGAAATATTCCTACCTGCGTCTCAGTAGGAGAGCTCTCAGCAGGGAGTCTCGATCAGTGGGACGGATTTCACCTTTGCTGACCAGCTCGTCCACTATTTTCTCAGCCACAGAGGCCAGGGTGCTGGCGTTCATGTCGAAGATGATGGCTCCTGAGAACCAAGGCTTGGGGTTACTACAGCTCCAAATCGACCAACCAGTCACAAGAATGTTTGGATGCTACTTTCTAGCTCTGTAACAGCTCTGAAATCACCTGTGTTTAACGCTCTGCGAACATGGAGCAAGCTCTTAAAGGTGAGGTAGGAGACATGAGATGGACCCCACTGTCTGGTGTTGGGGTCAAGGTTTTCCTCATAGCCCACCCATCGGCTGGTTTCCTGCCAGATGTTGCCCTGGAGCTCATTTAACTCCACATAGGCCTGTTGTAAGAAAACAGTAGGTCAAGCACTTTTCAGTGTATTAAAGCAGTAAAAGGTTTGCTTTCCCCAATGAAAATATCAGGTTTGTGTGTATTAAAAAATGGCAGATATCATCTCAAATGTAACGCTGAAGTTTAATTTGCACAATTCATTTGAATAACAAACAAATCTATTTGCTTGAAGAGTGAAATACATAAAATGATGCAATAAAATGTCAAAAGGCATGTGATTAATCTTTCATCTTTTAGTCTTCTTTACCTTGAGTCTACCATATATTGGGTCTGGTTTCAAAGGAAATAGAGTCAAGTTGTTCTTTCTTTTACTTCTTCATATTTGCATCTCTTAGCTGAAGCCATTGTTTGCAAAGAGATCACAAAGGATCAGGAAGATCTCGTTGCTGGTGTCAGTCAGAAGAAGGATACGAAAAACTTCAGCATTGTTTACATGCTATTAACCAATAAAGAAAAATGTGGCACAAGAGTGATGTTATAAAGATCTCCACAATTGTTGAAAAGACATGATAAAAACTGGTCAAGGAGACTGCTAAGAGACCAACAGGAATAATGAAGTAGCAATGTCCTGTACTCTCCAAATAGTATTAATATACTTTTTTTCCTAAAAGGTTTATTGAATATGTGAAAAAAGCTTTTAAATTATTTACCTTGTGTCATTTTTTTACATCACAAAAACCTGATTTTCAGCTGAAGTCAGTGCACTTTGGGGAGCCTCTTTACACCATTTTCTTCTTCATAAGAGTACACTTACCTGAGCATCCCCCCTGGTGGTGGCATTGGTGTTCACGTTCAGAAACGCTAAAAATAAAGAGGCATCAGAGTGGTTTAAATGGAGTAAAATTCAGTAAAATCTGTTGAAAAGGACAGCTTACCGTCTGAATCACTGGGAATAACAATGGCTTCAGGAGGAGGCTCAGTCTCTTCCTCTTTTTCTTCATCATTCCTTTCGACATTAAAGTTGTTCAGGCCTTCTGAAGTTCTGATGGGTTCGGAGGTACAGAAACATGAGCCAGATCCGCCACTTTGCACTCAGATGTTGCAAAGCAACTGAAAAATGTTGCTTCGTCATTTAACAGAGATGCAGTTCAATCCTTCATTATAAGAATGATTCAATTCAATTTCTATATATTTTTTTAAATTCCAGAATCGGTGCAATCCTTTTCATCGCCACAAGATGGCAGCACAGAGCGACTTGTTTATCAGCTACATTCTTATCTCTGATTGGCCCAGAAGAAGATCTAACGTAAGTTCAAATGTCTGGGGATGTTTTCGAGCAGAACATAAAAAGCTTCTTACATTCTGGAAACAGGAAGTTATTCATGTTTGTTTACGTAGTATTTATTAAAAAAGAAAAAAAAAAGAAGAAAAAAAACAGCAAGCAGAAGACTGTTAAACTCTCAATTGCGTTTTATAAAATATATTTCAGTCTATAAATGAATAATTTCAAAGTCTACTTAAGAATTATATACATATATATTTCATGCTTTTACGATTGCAGCTGTTTAAATAATCCATGTTTTTACTCAACAAAACAGATTCAAACAAATCAATGGTAAATAAATAAATAAATAAATAAATAAATAAATAAATAAATAAATAAATTAATTAATTTAATCAAAAGGTGCATAAATGCATCATAAACTACACACTCTTGAACTGAATAATTTAAAAACTGGGCCTTGGACTAGAATGATAGTTCCCACTATCTTATCAGAAACAGTGTGCAGAAGTTCACTGTTGGGGCACAGTGCTGAAGAAGGAGGCCTAAAGAAGATGAAGCACTCACAGTTTTAAATCAGAAGGGAAGGCTGGATCATTGTCTTCATATGACATGTCGCTGCCCTGGATGAGTTAGAAAGTGATTGATTAGTTTAAAAATTCTAGATAACATCTTCAAGTGTTCATTGAATCAGTAAAAATGAATACAAACCTCCTCAAAAGTGAAATTGTTCTCCATGGATGTTGAATTACCTCTGCTTTCAGCTACTTAATGCATTCCCTAAAGCAGAAAACAAATGAATTGACTCACAGAAGTCGTCTCTGGTAACTCAGAGTCAACAAATTCTCACTAAAGACCAGCTGTGTTAAAACTGGAGGTGATTTGATGAACTTATAATGGAAAGGACACATGATAACCCAACTTTACAGAGTTTTGCAATAATTATATAAAAAAAACTCAAATTTTCTCTAATTATATTTGAGTGTCATTACCAATGACACCAATTTTATTAAAAAACGAATGATCGCCACCATATTCGTCATTCAGAGTCTGCCTGTAAAGATGCCACACAGGTCAGATAATAAACTGGCCGTTGACAATTTGAAGTACGATATAGTTTAAATAGGAGACTACAGAGTCTTATCTTTGGGTTACGCCCGTCAACCAGGCTTATATGTTCTCCTCAGTGGCAAGACAGAAAAAAAAATACTTTTAGCTTCTGCAACTTTGCACAGAATTATACAATTAAACACAGAAACATTATATTTTAACATCAAACAGAAAAAGGACAGGTTTTGCATGGCAAAATTAAAAATTTCTGTTGCACATTTAGATTTTGAACCTGCTAACATTAACAGAAAATGGCTTCGTCACTTTTAAAATCCACACACAAAAATGCTTCTGCTTAAAAGTAATTTGATGTCTGCACCAATTTAAATTTATGACATCAAAAGCAAGTTATTTGCATATTTTAAAACAGCAGATCTTGAGGTGTTTGTATGATCCACATATTAAATTTCAGTACTGAGTGCACTCTGTTGAAATTCCTGTTAAAAATAAAGCAAAGTAAACATTACTCCATTTGTTGAAGTTTGTAAAAAGCTAATTTAAACTTCTTGGTTCTTGTCCCTAGGAATCCTATAAAAAAACCATGTCTACACCCCTACCTGAGTGCAGGTAATCCCACCTGGTCTCCAGTACTGGAAACAGGATGATCAGCGCCCTGTCAGCCTCGTCGAACCCGGAGACAAACTGACCTGGGACAGACGAAAAGACGAGTTCACTGAGGGGCCCGACGTGAGCGGGAACACCCACCTGAAAGTACGTCGGCGCTAAAGTGCAGGACCCCACTGCGCTCAGCAGGGTGTATGACACACAAACATCTCTATCTGCCCCAGACACCTTGACACAGGGATATCCCAGCCCTAATTTGCCTGCACCGCCCTTTCAGCGAGGACCAAATCTAAGGCCAGAGAGGCTCATCATGTCCCAGGGGTCGGGAAAGGGGCAAAGTGTGGCAAGGAGAACATCTCTTTACGTCATCTTGTTTACGAACTGGGGATTCCCTCAAGATATCGATAAGCGATGGAAGGGGGTAGTTCCTGGTGATGTGATAGGAAAACATTAATCTAAACTTAAATACATTACAGAGCAACAGTCCGGCTCACTTGGTTGTTTCGGGCGCATGAGGGACAGGAGCAACAAGGCGATACCCCCTCTGCTGGCTGGAGGTGCAGCTGGTTACTGGTAACACACACAGGCACATGATGCCCCATGGACTGAAGAAAACAGAAATATGGTATTAATTATGCAGAGAATTATTCACAAAACAACCTAAAACTGTTTCTGCAGAGGCAATCCTTATAAAGTATGGAAAACAGCTTAATTAATGTAAAAATTTAACAACCGTGCTTTTTTCCAAGAGAAAAATTATCCACATAGACAGAATGTGCAATAATTTATTTCCTTTATGTGCATCGGTACTCACATTTCTTGTGGATTCAGGAGAATATGCAGTACAAAAAGATTCACATACCTTTAATTTGTACATATATTAGTGCATTTTATTGGGATTTTATATAATAGAAATAAAGCACAGTTAAAAAGTGGAAGGAAAAGAAGATATTAAAACACGTGTGTCAAACACTAAACACTAAATGTGCTTAAATATTATGTTATCAATCAAATCAATGCAGTTTTTATCCGTCAGTCCCTCCAGTTTCTTGAGAATTATCGTGGAAATTCACACAAAATTTTTTTATACTAATACATAATTGGGAGTTTATTGAATATTATTCTCAAAAATTGTCAAAAACTAAACAGCTGCCTCAGCCTTAACTGATGTCAGATTTTAGTCCATGATCTATATGAAAAGTCACATTTATCGTCATAAATAAGAGCAAACATCACAAATTAGTACCACAAACACTTTGATTTTTATTGCAGAAAATCACAAAAAGTCACAAATCCTGGAGCGACTGAAAAGATGCTCAATAATTTACTTAATTTTAAGATTTCATTGATATTTTAACAGTTTGTGATCAGGTTTTATCTATAAATTCTGGCACATCCGGCCCTTTAAGAGCCTTCAGGATCTTTATTTGGCCCAAAATAAAAATTAGTTTGACACCACTGATATATAAAGCAGATTTTACTTTCTTTGCTCAAAGAACGTCTAGCTTCTCAAGTCTCCAGGAACTTTTATTTATGAACACTTTAAAATACCTCTAAATTACCTGGAAATGAAAGAACTTCATTCAAGATTTCTGCACATAAGTGGAGAAGGTTTGCTCATTTGTTTTAGGATGCCACTGTGATTGGAGTCATTATGTTGACGCGACTTGCTGAAGCAGAGGTCGTACCATCACTAATTTAATCAAATCGCTACAAAGGAAACAAGTTTTCCAGTAAATTGTCACCATTCAGGAATAATCACTTTAGGATTGAACAAAGAAATGTTATCTCCAGTCTTCCATGCAACAATTAAAAAGTGATTAGCAGGACTGATAAATCCACAACGAAGAGAACTTCTGATTTTGTTACACATTATTTAACTTTTTTATTTAATTTCTTCTCCGGCCCTCAAAGTGACCTCAAAAGCTCTTGGCTCTTAAAATCTCAAACATTTCCTGTAATGCCAAAGCTACGTTTTGATTTTTGTGAGAATCAGTTGGATGATATCCAAGGATAAGTATGAGAATGCATATTCAGTTTTAATGTTACTTATTTGTCGTGTAAAATTGCATACCTGTGAATTATTTCATTGTTTGAAGCTTTCAGCTGCAGAAAAAACAGAAACCTGTAGAGATAAAAAAAAAAAAAAAACTCAGGTAGCAGAACTGATTTTAGTCGCTGTGCACAGAGTCTGCTGCTGAGCAGCAGCACTTCACCAGCCACTCACTGCTGCTGTTGTTTTATCAAGTAGAAGAAAAGCAAACTTCAACCTCAACTTAACTTGCTAAGCAATCGTTTTCCTCGTGCTTGTTGTGTTTTTGCAGTTTGGCTACAGTTGCAACTGCTGTTTGACATTAGCATGCTTCAGTGACCTGCTGTTTGGGAACGTACCTCCTGAAGGTTTGGTCGTGAAGAACTCGGCTCTGAACTCCTGCATATCTGCTGACACACGGCTCGATCCAAAGGACTTACAACACCAGTTAAAAATGCCTCCGTTCTGCATTGGCTTTGATTTAAACAGGGAAAAGAAAAGAGTCTGTGAAAAACACAAGTAGTTTCATATTTAGCCTCCTTTTGCTCCAAGAACTGCAGCTGCATGGAGTCTAGAGGAGCTGATAAGGAGCTATCCCAGCATTACCTGACCGTGTCACAAGGGCTTCTCATGTCGTCAGGATTGATTGGCTTTGTTTAGAAGAGTCCAGATTGTGAGACTGTCAAGGAAAGCCGTTTTTAGGAGATTTCAGTCGTCCTCTTTGCTGATTTTAGCTTGCAAAGCTTTGATTCGTTTCTTTGCTCTCAGTAAATTCAGAATTAATTGTGGTCCTAAGCAAAAATTTTACTTGGATTTAAGATTCTGAAATGAGATTTCCTGCAACTGTTTCTGCACAAGTACGTTATTTTCAACCATGAAAATAATTTCACGCTTCCTGGCATGCATTTTTATTCTGTGTGTATTAATTTGAGGTTTTATGATTTACTTATTTCACTACGATAAGCTAAAATATCAAAAATCTTTTTTTTTTTTTTTTAGAAAACCCACATTACAGAAGAACTATTATAAATGGAAAATATAAAGGAACAAAGTGATTCTTGAAGCGTATCCAGCGTACAATCTAATAAAGTCAACCGAGTTTATTAATGTTATCCATGCTGAGGAAACACAGTGGGGCCCAGTTTTAGACCCTCTGTGGTAGGAGCGCGTTATCACACCTCGTAGAAGCTATCTGTGGCGGCCATGTGGCTTCACTCACACAGCACAGACACTCCCAGTTTTCACACATCTTCATATTTAAAAAGGTTTCACTGCTGCACAGTTATAAAGTGAATGAAAAGAAACACCGGTTATGTGGACAGAGTGTAAACTGACCTTTAAGTCTTTTTAAAAACCTCAAAAATGACCCAACGGCTCAAGCCAAAGAAGAGTTTTTGAACTTCACTTCATAAACTTTATGAATTTACTGCAAAGAATTTTGAATATGAATGAAATATGTAGCTTAACAAAAATAAACATAAGTAGTATATAAAGGTTTTTTTTTTTTAATGTGTCAAACTCGAGGCCCGTGGGCCAAATCCGGCCCGCCGTAGCTTTTTATGTGGCTAAATGTGCTTTTAGTCTAAGCATATTTAGTGTTTAGACTAAACACTAAATGTGCTTACATATTATGTTATCAGTCAAATCAATGCAGTTTTTATCTCTTTGCTGCCAAATTACATCAGTCAGTCCCTCCAGAATTATCGTGGAAATTCACACAAAATCAACAAATCCCCGCACATTTCTGTTCTAATGCATAATTGGGAGTTTATTGCAGATTTATCTCAAAAATTGCCAAATACTTTCTTACTTGAACTAAACAGCTGCTTCAGCCTTAATTGATATCAGATTATAGTCCATGATCTATATAAAAAGTTGCAAATAATTGCAAATATTTCCAAATTAATATCACAAACACTTTTATTTTTATTGCAAAATAATCACAAAAAGTCACAAAATTCTGGAGGAACTTAAAAGATGCTAAATAAGATTATTTAATTTTAAGAACTCATTGATATTTTAACAGTTTGTGATCAGGTTTTATCAATACATTCTGGCACAACCGGCCCTTTAAGAGCATTCAGGATCTTGATTTGGCTCAAAACGAAGACGAGTTTAACACCGCTGTTTAAAAACATTCAGTTATTTTATGGGAAAAGATGTAAATATGAGCTCTATCAGCTCCTCAGCAAGCAGACTGGTGTGAGTTATCACTAAGAGCCAGAATCAAAGACCCACCTACAGCAAAAGGGCAACACAGCGAGGGCCGCCGTTCATTCATTTTAATTCAGCTAAACCTTTATTACATCGATATAAAATTTAATCTTTTTTTACTTCGAAAATGATAATTTATACATGTCATAGTTTGTTTATATTTTTTTAAATATGTTTTTATCATGAGCATCAACACAAAACGCTCCTGAAAACAAAGCAACAGTTTTAATTTCTTAGGAGTGCAAGCTAAAGCTTAATTTTATTTTTTAAATAAACAGAAATAAAGTTTTCATACTTATGATCTTTCAGCTGTCTTGTTGTTTTTATTATTATTACTGTCTTAATATTAATTTGTTTTTATTTGCAGCAAGGTGGAAAAGAATGGAAGGGGAAAAAGCCAGATTGGCTAACAAAACAAAACAAAATCCTTTTAGTTCTTTCAGGCACAATTGACGTCAATATAAATAATGCAAAGCTACATTAAGTGTTTGCCCTATTACCCATGTGATGCCATTGAACTCTTGGGGTAATTCTGGCAGGTGAGTTGCCCCTGGGAGGATTCGCCACTGCTCCATGTTTTCTATATTTGCATATTTTACTTCACATTGAGCTTCAGTGAAGTACAAAACACTTGGAAGAAAAGTCTTTTCCAGACTGACAAAGGTTTAACTAACTCAGTTCTCATTTTGTTCTTACTTTATTTATTTTTTAGATCAGGACCATCATTTGCTTTTTTCTTTCTTTCCTACTTCATGTTGTCAGCCAGGTTCTGTTTAACTGATTTCTTTCTTCTATTAGTCTGGACTTAATGAAGTGGGAAGAAAAATCTAACCAAATAATGATATAAGAAGGGTTTTTTTTTAAATAAAAAATAAAAATAAAAATCTTTTTCACTTACACATATGGTATTACCCAAGTTAGCTATGCCTGATGTTAAAATGTATCTGATCATCTGGAACAACACTAAATCGAGAGAATGAACTTGGACAATGAGCAATATAT